CAAAACAGTCAATTTTCTTGCTACCAAACGGGCTCTTAATTGATTTTTTCATAAAAGTACAAGGACCTATTTGACAGTTTTCGCGAATATATAAGAGTGGAGTTTTGGAAGTTAGATAACCTTTCATTTATGGGTTGCCACATGTCACATTTTCCTTACAAAAATGTTGTCACATGTCAATAATTCCTCTAAAGGATTCCTCAAGAGTTGACTTTATTATATTATTATATAGAATATAGATATAGGTTTTTTATTTAAAAAGTATTCTTAATAACTTTTTTTTGCAGATAAACTTCACAAACTTTTCTTCTAACTCCATAAGGTACAGTATAAAGTATTGATACATCATATCATCAACGAATAGAAAACAAAAGCATTCAAAAGCTAGATTGACAAGAAAGCCAGCTTGATTACAAGTTTGCACCCCCTGTCATCATCCTTATTTCCCCTCCCCCACTTGACAAGCTTAAAACACTAAAAAGAACAATCAATTCGTATCAGTGTCACAAAACTAGAACCCTATATAATATAATCATCCAAATTTCCACTACCAATTCTTGCCAAGTATAAAACTCATAAGAAGCGCAAAGTAATCTTTCCCTTGATATTCTGCCTCGCGACTATGCCGTGCTTTTTGTATCTATCTGAATCAAATGGTTGGATGAAATTGTACTGCAAATAGTTACATTTTCGTGTAGGACGCGTTCGAAGAATGTGTTTGTAAGTAGCACTTTAGGACGGAACTATGGTGCCAATGTAGCCAAATCCAGCAATAGTAAATGTGATGACTTGGAGGAATAGGTATATGAAGTATTGGTTCTTTCCATACATGAAATCATAGCACCCACAGATGAAAAGGAAAACCGCAAATCCCAACTCATGTGGCAGAATCCTATCTCCAAGCAGAGATTTCGTCTTCTTGATTGTTGCAGATTTGGCATTTGGTTTGTTCTTGAGAGTGTCTCCCAGTTTTTCAGTGACTACCCACTCATTAGCCCTCTTTGCTTCAAGCAGCCCAATGAATGTAGCTTTGGTTCGGTGGAACGCCATCACATTCTCAAATAGAATCCAGTAAAACAGCAAATGGATCGACCTCGGGGTGCCAACGGAGTTGAGAGTTGTGATGATACAAGGAATGTAAATGGCAGCCCACTTTGGTATTTCAACTTCGGGTACAAGAATGGTCAATGGAAGAACAACGCAGAAGAAGAAAAATGTGACCATGTGAGCTATGATTTTCCGAACGAAGAAGAAGCTGTAGATCACGTAGAATTTCTTCCACACATTCACTCTCTTGTTCCTAACGATTTCCATGACCATTTTCCTGAACAAGTTTGCAGGTCCACAAGACCAGCGATGCTGCTGGAAGCGGAAAGCCTTGAAAGTACTAGGAAGTTCACTTTTAACATGGAGTCTCCCAAATAGAGGAACTTCCAGCCTTTAAGGCTTGCTCTTACAGCCAAGCCCATATCCTCTACAGTGGTCCTATCCAACCGCCTGCCTCATTTATGGCTGCGATCCTCCATATACCACCAGTCCCATTGAAGCCAAAGAAAGCATGAGTGGATGATCCAACTTCTTGCTCCACAGTAAAATGGTAATCCAGAGACATCTCTTGCATTCTTGTCAATAAACACTCATTGGCATTCACAAACCGCCAGCGAGCTTGGACCAGTGCAATCTGGGGGTTGTGGACCAAGAACGGGATGGATCGCTGGAGAAAATCCGGTTCGGGCCGGAAATCGGCGTCGAAAATGGCGACATACTCGCAATCCTTAACATAATCGCGTTTTAATCCGTCCTTAAGAGCTCCCGCCTTATAGCCACCTCGTGTATCTCTGATATCGAATATTGATGCCCTTGCTTGCCCTCTGATGCACTCTTTTTCAATCATGTCCTTAATGGTTAGATCAGTGGAATCATCAAGAACTTGAATAACAATTCGATCCGACGGCCAAGAAAGATTACATGCTGCTCCAATGGAGATCTTATATACCTCTCTTTCATTGAACATGGGGATTTGAATAAGGACCATCGGAAAGGAAGCATTTCCGATTTCCAAATCCTCACGCATTGGCTCCCATTTGTACCTTTTATCAGGTTTTTTCCCGAAAATTTTCACCAGAATGATGACAATCCCCATATACAGCCTCTCACAGAAAAGCATTATCGTCATCGCCACACAAATGTACACAGATAACCTGAGCAGAGGCACTATGAGCGGCACCTTAATAAGCTCCCACATCATCCCCATTTACACCGCTATGTCCGCCGCCGGTCCCCGGAAAGTGATCCCGCCAGTGAGCGGAAGCTCCGCCATTGTCGAGAAAGGACGGGGGGGCGAGGTTAGAAACGGAGGAGATCGTTCAGAGCGGATCTGACCTCGACTCTGCCTCCACAATCCTTTGTTCTTCAACTCCAGGAATGTAATGGGAGGAGGGGAGTAAAGTATTCTTAATAACATATACGGAGTAATATATTTACTGCAACTGTATTAGTTACCTGACCGTATACTTAAAGTGCCAAAGTACATACGTTCTAAAAGAGTTTGGAATATGGTACTGAATCAATAATAAAAGTTCTTGAAAAAAATGGACAAAGTGTTTTACTCAGACATTTAGTCGAACACGTATTGTGCAAGAGTCTAATGGGTAACTAACATCGATTAGATATTGGACAGTTAATCGTTTCCCGTGGTGCATTTTCCCGCAGGCGGGTTGTCCTCAGTGACGATTCTGGATTCGTGGGCAGCATCATGGTTTCTCTGTTGTGGAGAGTTCGTGAATTGCGGCGGATCCGTGTCCCGGAGCTTACCCCTCACAACACTAGTCACCAAAACTGAAATAAAAGAAACACGCAGTAACGAATTAATAACAATGGTGACGGGAGCCATCGAGAAATGGAAGAAGAAGAAGAAGAATACCGGCTGCAGTGCCGATGGTCCAAACCCAAAGGATCTTCACTCCTGGTCCTCTGTCTTTCCACATTTTCTTCCTCACCCTTCACTCCAATTTTATGTTATAGCCGTGGAACTTAAACGGATATATAAATTTCACACATCACCATAAAGTATATTATACTTTTCCATCACGTGCAATGAAGTTAAAGGGGATAAGGGTCAGTTTGGTCCTTGAAGTTGCAAAAAGGAGTCAAATAAGTCCTTATTGAGAAGATTCTGTCTGGAAGTGCCATTTGAGATGGCTCCCAGTGGAATTTTTTGAAGAGTTTTTTGAGCATCTTATTCATTAAGTCTAGTTTACTCATATCAAATTTCAGATAAAAATTCAATCGGGAAGACATTCAAATGAATTCTTGAAGATAATTGTGCCGTTAAAAGCGCAGTTATCTTCAAGAATTCATTTGAATGTCTTCCCGATTGAATTTTTAGCTAAAATTTGGTATGAGTAAACTAGACTTAATGAATAAGATGCTCAATAAATTTTATCAAAAAATTCCACTGGGAGCCACCTCAAATGGCACGTCCGGACAGAATCTTCTATATAAGGACTTATTTGACACCTTTTTTGCAACTTCGAGGATCAAACTGACCCTTTACTCGAAGTTAAAGACTCCTTATTTGTTGACTTTGGAATAGAATAGATGAAGCAAAATAGCTCACTTAACTGTTTGCCCATTTTTTGTTATGAAACAATCAATCCATGCAATTTTCGACGTGATTTCACTATGGGTCATTCGAAAACAATCTTTATGTGCTTTAATACACGGATAAGACTGAGTACATCTGACCCCCTTACCCCACTGTAGGTGAGAGCCTTTGCGGCATTGGGGTCATGATGGATGATGATGAATGATGACAATGACCATAAACTACATTGAGATGTTTTCACCTGAACTGAAATTTGTTGGGATAGTTTTTTTTTGTCCCTTGTCCGTGGAAGTATTTAGCCAAGCTACAACAACTGATTTTTTCTTTTGAAAAAAAAATGTAGAATAAGATATTACTTTATGCTAGTATGAAAACTTTTGTATAGCATAAAAAAAGTAATCATGTGATACAAATTACTCATGTCAAGGCCTTATGTGATAAAAAACTTTTGTAAAAGTAAAATTATACTTTTCTGGTACTACACTACCTACGTGGCTACGTGCTTCTGACAAAAAAATAAGCTGAAATACTAGCTACTGGAGCCAACATTCTCGAATCAAAGCCAAATGGAACCTAAGGTTCCCCTTATCAAGAGTGATCCAGTGCAATAAAAAACAACGTGAAGCTCCACCCTCGGATGAAGGTGCTCATTAGTAGAAAATCTGTAGTTTGAGCAAAGCTATATGTAGATATGACGCATTTTCAGATACTATAATAATGCATTTTCTTTGTATTATCATATTCATTATATTTTTGCCATTTTTATTGAAACTCACAATGAGCTTTTCTAATAGCTTAGTCAATTCCAAAAAGTATGCTAGTTTCGCTTGTTTGGAAATTAGGATTGGAATTTGGAACATAAAAATGGATTCTTATGATACACAATTAACATTTGGTAGAGCAATGTGTAAATTTGCACATGGTGTGGGTTCAAGTCCCACATAGCCTAAATAAAGATATCGACAATTCTAACATGTATGTTAACACTCTTAAGACAAATATTATACGTATTTTGCATTTTTTTATCATGAACTATAAAACAATATTAAAAGTTTTTTTTTTTGCTTCAATTTATTCTATCATTTTATAATAGCACAAGTTTAAGTCTCACCATGCAATCTAACGTGATTTATTATAAAAAAATACTTTTACCCAGATTACTTTAACTATTCGATAAAAAGACATTACTATTTTACAACTGTTGGGCACTTTCTTTTTATTCCTGTGTGTTCATTCTTTTCCTGATGCCACTTCTTTTCTTTAATATCTCTTTGCTTCTTTTATCCTTATATTGCATCCACAAACTTTTATTCTTATCTTTTTTTATTGAACTATGATTGGGCGAAATAGATTTGGAACACAATCTTCTAATTTGAGAATTTCTGTAGAAAAGTAAAATGGTGTGACAATAAGGCACTTTGGAAAATTATTGATAAATAAAGTCAATATATATTTCGAATTGTTCTTTTAAAAATAATATTACAATTTGAATATATATTACAGGTAGAAAACAACACTACAATAGCTTCAAGAACAACATCTGAGGAACAACAAAGTCAAAGTTAAATTGTCTCTATTTTTCAGTACCAATGCCTGCTTCTTTGGTTTATCTGAAGTTGTCGTAATCTGCAAAAGTGAGAACAAATCTTTTGTTAACACACACTTCAATACCATAAGCATCAACAAAAGCATGCCGATCTCAGAATGATTCTTCGACTACATCATGAGAAAAGGTAAAAAAATTTAATTTTCTTCCTTTAAAACTTTGTTCTAATAATCCTGCCTTGAAAATGTAACTAGGATATAGATAAAGTCATAATGTGTTAGCGCACACTAATACACCCAGAATGATAACTTGTAAAGAATAAATTCATTACTTGTAGTATCATAAACTTGAAATCTTACAAAAGAAATTACTTAGAGTACCATCAATATCAAGAGAAGCATGTTGATCTCTCAATGGTTCTTTGACATTATTATTGGCTACTTCAAGGTTTTCCATATCACCAATCAAGAAAAATACTTTACAACCACACTGGTAAAGCCTAATTCATAACTTCTTATAAGGAATTTGTAACATTTAGTCTAATTACTTCAAAAGACCTTTCATTGTAGGAATGTAAGCTATTCTATATTCAGATGGTCTTATGTAAATAGCCATTTGTGAAAAAAAACTGATTTCGACTTATATCTATAATGGGTTATATATAAAGACTGTTCAATAGTTTTCTCTCAAATACTAATGAGACATTACTTTTCTCGTGACTTCTAATTAACTAAGTTGTACTTCTAAAAATAAATACATAACTTCTATTTGGTGCTATAATGTGAAAGAAAAAAGTGAAGTTGTTTTCATTAAAAATAATATTCAGAATATTTTTGTTAGCTCTAAACAATCAGGACACTTTATAAGCTGTTGCATAGATATTCATGGTTTACTAAACCTTCGTGCCTTCTCAAATTACTATAACTTATAGATCACAAAATGTAACTTTTAAACCTAAAGGCTTAACTTTTACCAAAACTCCCAAGACTTCAAAAACCATGAGTATAACTTGTAATCCAAAAAGTATAACTTGATCAATTTAGCACCAATCTGATGTTCATTGGTTTGTAAGTTTGTTCAAAATTCTTCTCATTTCTAGAGGTGGGGAAAAACACATTTTAGCAAACTAAGACCATAACTTCTACCTTAACAAAAACTAATCAATTACAAAGCTTTGAAATATTTATGCAGCATAAATCAATTTAAGCCAAAATAATCAACACAATCACTGCATTATGACTTTGTCCTGTCGTAAGCGCAAATGACAATTCTTCACTACACTCATCAATATAACTACTAGTTAAGTAAGCTTAACTTCTATAACAAAACCTATAACTTCTAAAATAGAACCGATAACTTCTACCTTAACAAAAACTAATCAAATCCAAATCTTTAAAATATTTATGTAGCATAAATCAATTTAAACCAAAATAAACTATACGATCACTGAGTTATGAATCTGTCCTATCGTAAGTGCAAAAGACGACTTTTAACTACACTCATCATTATAACTACTAGTTAAGCAAGCTTAACTTCTAAAATAAAATTGTAACTTCTACTTTCTGTTTTATCATTTTGTAAGTCTGCAACTATGTGACTAAAATAGCTTGGGAACAATCAGTAGCAGAAACAATAAGTGCACCTCATAGTGATTCTTAAAAGTCTCGTCAACATAACTACTAGCTAATTAAGCTTATTCTCTAAAATGAAATCAATAACTTTTATTTTTCAATCCATAGATTCAGGAAATAACTTCAGCATAATTATCAAGATCAGAATTAAGAGCAACAACAACATATTAAACTAATGAGCTCCAAGGGAAAAGAAGAACATGTAAACTAAAATAAGAGTCATTATTTTAATCAATTAGAAAGCTTCAAAAACAGAGGCATCGCTTATACCCAAAAGGATGACCTGTAGCAATTCATCACAATCATAAATCATTAATAGTGTGCTTTTAAACTAAAACCACAAGATATAAAGACAAGTTTGAGGGGGTACTTATTAGAGTTTTAGGGTTTTGAGATTTACAAATTATGTAAAATTGAAGAATTTGAAGCTCACCTTCTAGATTTGATAAATCGCGCTAGAGCGGTACATTATATTTGCCAGATTTTTGTGTCGAGTAATAAAAATGCATCTATCCGCACAAACAAGCTTGAATAATTACTATACATCTATACCTCTCTGTGCAGACAGGTTATGGAGCATGGAAAAAGTGAAGAACGCGGCCTATTTGGAAGCTGTATGTATGGTCGACAGAGTAGCTCCAAGTAGTTAGAAAATACTCCGTCTTTGGTTTAAATCTCGAGCGAAGAGATAGAAAACAGAAGAATTCAGCGATCTTCTTAATCGTTGTAGGAACGAGCTTGCGGCAATTAGCCAACAATCTTCTTCTTTTAGAGTTTATCGGAGTGAAAGAAAAGTAATTGGAGCAGAGAAAGAGGAGTCGATGAGCAGAGAATTCGATAAGGAGAGAGATCGTCTTGGTAAAAGGAATGAATGAACTCCGTATTTAATTAAGAGCATTGGATAGCCGTAAGATTTTACCTGATCGGACGACTCCAATCACTTCTCATTTTTCAGTTTAAAGGTGCTTCTCACCAGATTCATTCTCTCTCTCTCTCTCTATATATATATATATATATATATATATATATATATATATATATATATTCTAGATGAATCTGCATTAAAATGATTAAACACTACATCCTAAACCTTGACTTTTTAATTCCAATGGCTGCCTATAAAATCTATTCTACCATCACATGGGCAAGTGTTCCCCGCATTCAAATGCCTGCACAAAACATAAACCATTACACTCAAGGATGAGCTTCTTCACAATTGAATGTTGTGTTGTTTTTTGTTCATACGATTGTTTAGATACTCTATTCATGAAAATACACATTCTTTTTTATCCCTGCAGGCCATCCACGACTTCAAACTGAAGGGTTTCTGAGTAATTTAATGATGGCTCATTTCTAATTGGAGTAAGAGAGAATTACTTAGCTAGATTAAAGTAAGTTTAATAAACAAAAGATTTGAGAAGTTTACTTTCAACATTTCATACTTTCTCTCTATCATTTTTGTGAAGAACATTTCAAACTTCATGTGAATAGTATCAATAATTTTACAACATTTTAAGGTACTTAAACAAAACAAGAAAGGAGATGGAGCAGAAACTAGTCAAAGCTCGTGCAACGCACGATTTCCTTAAAACGTATTCGTTGCCTCCAGGAGTGCTAGGAGCGTTGCAAGAATCGTTTCCCAGGATACGGTGACTAACGAGCAACCGTTTAAGCACTTAAACGATTGTTCCGGCGAACAAGAACAAATGCAGAACACAAGCAATTTTTCTGAGGAAGCTGGAGGCTTTTCGAGATAAAGAAATACGTGAGGAGAGTATTGTGTGATGTGAATTATTGCAAATCACCTGCCAGCCTTTTATAGGGAAGATTTGTTGGGTGGTAATGGAGGTTTAATGGATATGAACGTTGGTAATCAATGTCCAACTCGTTGGCATTGATTCGTCCAGAAAACCGTCCATTTATTGCAAAGGAACGTTGGAAATTTATGTGATGTAACGTCCCAGCAGTACCCCGCTACGGGCGTTCAACACACAGAGCAGTAGCGAGCCTATTGCCGGGAGCAGCAGCCTCCTCCCAAACGGGGCTGCATCTGGAGCAAAAATAGGAAACGTAATGGAACTCGGAAGAACAAGAATTAACGTTTATCTTTAGAAGATAGAATTTTCGGACGGCATTCGTGTCCGCAGGTCGCCCGCGCACGCAAGTCGGGCCTTTTGTTCCCCGGTTTCGGGATTTGATTCGCACCCCCTGCGCGCAAGAGAGAGCCTTTACCTAAGGAATCTTAACTCCTTAAAGGGGGTTTCCTTTTATAAAGGTTCAAATTCCCTTGGGTTTTCCGGGAAAAAATCATTTTCCTAGTTTTATATATCTTAATTTCTAATATATCCTTCCGACAATACCGGCGCACTTAGGGCTCGTTTGGTAGTTTACTCATTAAAACTTTACATGTAAAATGATTGCATGTAAACTTTAGGACTGTAAAATAGTTTACATGTAAAATAGAATACATTGTTTGGCTATGTGTTATCTATTTTTAAATTACACGCAAACTGAATTAAACATGTGTGGTAAAAAAGGATTAATCCATCTCTCGTCAAAAGAAATCGAGCAGCAAATAAACCAAGCAAATAAACAGATCGAGCAAAGACTGATCCCAGGCTTTATATACTACAGTACATACGTATATACATATAATGTATATATATATATACAAAAAAGAAAGAAAATATCCAAGCGTTTCTTAAAAAACTAAGCAAAAATAGTTGCTGAGTATATCAAATTAACGTGGATGTAGAGCAGATCGATCTAATGTGTAGGTTGTAGAACATCTTGTTTTCTTGTATACTACGTAGGATTGGTAGGAGAAAACCTGCGGGCAATATTTTTGATTTGCCGATGCGATGGAGTCTTCAGAGCCGCAAGGTTGGAATCTGGTATATTTATTCTGCCTCAAATTAACGGTGTAAAGTAGTTTACCACCCTCCCCCATGTAAAATATTTTACGTGGTACGGTGTAAAGTATTATTAAAAAAGTGCCCTACAGTTTACATTAAATAGTTAAAACAAACGGCGTAAAATGTTTACTTTCCCACACTTTACACGCAAAGTGTTTACTTTACATCTTACCAAACGGGCCCTTAACTTCCGACGATACTGGCATGGAACGACTAGCAACAACAATTCCAGTAGATGACAACACAACTCTGACTAGCTCACCAGCAACCTCCTGTGGTGATGACAGCAGTCCCAATCGCCGCCGTAGTAGGCAAAAACTCTAGGGCCGTGAAGTCCAACCATTAAACTATAAAAAAATAACCTTAGTTCATCCTTTTCGGCCGTTGTAACTTCATAGTAAACATGCATTAAACTATCAAGAATCTGATTGGAGTTTTCCCAGGAACAAATCAATAGATCAACAGGTATGCTTAATCTTATCTTCTCTAGTTTATTCCTCTGTTTTTCTTCTGTCATATTGCAGGGGTGAACTC